TTTTTTTTTTAAATTTTACTTTTTCAAATAAATTCATAGTATCAAAGTGTGTGCAGCGATAGCTTTGACAAGAAAGTTGCTGAATTGTTCAGCTAATCTTTTTTATCTTTTCTTTCCAGCTCTCAGTAATAAAATGCAAAAAGTTTTAGGATGAGGAGTTGTACTTCTCACAAGAGCCAAAAAACACAAGAGCGTTTTAAGATTTAAAAAAAAAAAAACGATGAGTTAAAGTCATTTAATATTGCAGTAGTCTTGGATGATGGTACTTTTCACGAATCTATTTGGTTGTTGTTGGGCGAGACAACTTCCTAAGTTAATTAGAAGCCGTTCACGGTTTTTTAGTTTACTTTTCACTTGTATATTTAGACATCTAAAAATCCATTTGGGAGACAAGATTGATGTTGACAAAGAAGCCTGGAATCCAGACAAAGAAATATTCCACTATTTTTCTATGCACGATTTGAACAAAGATGATGTTATCGATGGCTTAGAAGTTATAAATGCAGTTACACATGACCATGAAGGTAATATACCTAAATTATTTAAGCTAGTCTGACTAATTTATTATGAAGGGCAACTTCAATTAAACCACTCCTTTGTTGCACTCACCGATTTCCGTTATTAAGTATTAGTTTCGAAAACTGTTACTGGAAGATCTTCAAAACCACTGCTTTCGTAGCGTATTTCTGACACGTTTGACGTTGTCAAAGTTTAAGTTCACAGCAGCAAAGTCTTCTAACAAACGAAATAAGCTTGCGAAAATTAACGAATGAATCTGACCTCTTGCTTCGTTACACTGTAGCTCTCTTTTCCAATTTTTATTTACACTTACATGCTGACGAGACACTTTACGAAACTGACCCTCCTAATTTATTTTCCACATAGAGTATGAGTATACAAATCTGTGGTGACTTTTTCGAGTCATATTGCAATTACTGAAGTGCAAACTAATGAATTTGTATCTATTCATTCATATTCGTCAATGGTAAAGAAATTTGCAGCATAATCAGCAAAGATTGCAGAACATGGAGCACCACAGCAAGCAAAAGAAACTATATCTGACGAGGCGTTAGAATCCGTGGTGGATCAGCTGTTAAAGGACATTGACATAAATGACGATGGATTGATCGACTACAGCGAATATGTGTTGCAGCAAAAAAGAGCTTGAGCGTTTCAAGTATAACGTCACGCATCTTTTCAACATATCTGCTCTTCAACAATATTATAAATTTAATGTTATGGTTTCTTCACCTCCCAAACTGTTTTTAAGGACAATTCTCGACTTTTCCTTTTTACATATTCTTTTAATTTGTAGTCTGTCACGAATCTAGAGGTTCTGTTAATGTATTCTTTAATTTTCTAGAAAAGTTTTAAGGTATTAATTTCCTAGTCTACGTCTGCAAGAACGTGACAGATGCTCATTGCCCGTGACTGGACAGTTCTCTAGAGTCCACAAAAAACTATTTTTGTGAACCTTAACTTTTTTTTGACGAATTTGAGTTGCATAAATTCTAATTTTTGTAAAATAAGTTTTGTATGAAATAGTTGTCTGTTGTAAAGAGTAGCTGCAGCTTATTTGTGGTTTCAGTGCTGATTAATTGGCAGTGTAGTACTGGAATTCTCTGAAGTATTTCTGTTGTTTTCGACTAATGATTGGTTGCACTGTTTTTGCCAAACCTGATAAAGCTGAAATGTTGCTGAAATATTTTATAGGTCGTAGGAAAATTAAATTTTGAGACACGTTTTTACTGATCAGCACTTTTTCACACGATACTTTTTGAGTTGTAACCGGCAGCTTTTGGCGTCTTATCTTTTTGACTGGCCAGATTATTGTGTAATAGCATAGTTTTACGGACACAATTTCAGTCTCTGATGATAAGATTTTAAGTTGATGTTTGCTAATAAATTTTGATAACCATTTTTGTAGAACCAAACAAATGATCTATAAGCTTTATATTTATATTTACTGAAGTTTTGTTGGATACAGGTCAGAGTATGTAGCACTCAACGATAGCAAGTGCCTAAGAAGTGACCTTAGTTCTTCATAGAAGTGCCTGATTTTGAAGCAGTTTTTTATAAATGACAAGAGTGAAATTGATAGTGTGGTGGAATAATTTTTGCTTTTAAGAATGTGACATTTATTTTGATGCAGAACAAAGGGGCTGTGTCATTTACTTATTTATTTTCGTCTTTTATTTCTTTGACGGCATATTAATTTGAAATACTTCAAATGAGTGAAGGCTATCTAACAACACTTTGGTGAGACCAGTGCTTTTTATGATTTCAATTATTTCTTGAAACACTTTCTTCCGATTTTTTTGAAATTTATCTGCCTAATAAAGTTTAATTAGTGCATACTAAGTAGCGGAGACTTAGTTGCGGTATGATATGTTCATGTCGATGTGGAGAGAAACAGAAATTCACAGTAGCAACAAAGAAGAACAACAACAAAAAAAAATGTTTGCCTGCGCATTTTCAAAAGGTTATTGAAGACGCGTGGCAAGAAAACGCTTTGAGTGGCTATTTAAAAAAGGAATTAAATTTTTATCTTTTTGAATGAGGTTTTACTGCTAAAATTTTTGTTCTGCGGTTTGTTTTAATTCCGGAATTCGTTAAGCATAACGATGTCTCTCGTGATTACGAGATGCAGAATGAAAACTGGAAGCGGCTAGACACCAGCCGCAGATTTCATGTTCTGAAGTGGCTGTTACCAGAAAAGTTGAAAAGATGGTTACCGTACAAAAAACTTTTTAAAGTGCTTTATCTGTTTTTAGACAACTCTTCAGAGTTTCGTTCTTAAAGCACTTCTTGGTGAACAATTGAAACACTTAACAGACTGTTACTTTTAGTGGCCAAAGACACTGTATTGTGGAATAGAAAAAAGTTTGGGAACAATTTGTTAAGTGTGGTGAAAGTCATCAAAAATAATTATATCCAGACAAAAATAGGATTTTTTAATGTTTTCCAACTTTGCTGCCTGTATCTGTGTATTTTATCTAGTGTAAAAAATTGTTCCAGTCGAGAGCCAAAGATACGCAAGACATCTAATGTTGGAAAATATAAAAATAGGAAAAATATCTAGCAAATAGTTAAAACACATTAACTCTATAGAAAATTTTCTGGAGTTCAAAAATGACTCATTCTGTTCGGCAGTCAAGCAGATTGAGTGAAGCCTTTCTTAAACACCCGTGATGCTTCATTAGTTAACATAATGACAAAGATTACTCTTCAATCATAAGAAATCAGTGGTTGAGAGTCGGATGATTATAAAATGAGTTTAAAACGATGTTTTTTCCAACACTCGTGATCTTCTAGCAATTCCATACGTGGCAACTAGAAATCACAAATGGTTAAAACCAGAACCGATTTTTCTGGGATTACAAACTTAAGAAGCCTTAATACTGTTTTGTGACGATAGTATAAAGTGTAATATAACTTTTTACAACTTGGAAAAGTAAAATAAAACAGCTTTATCTGCTTACTTTTTTATGTCATTGTCTTTGACACTCGCAATGATTCCTTACTGTAAATGAAGGACATGTTACGTTAAAATTTGTTAAAGTTTATGAAGATGTTATTAAAATTGAACAAATTCAAAAGTGGTAACAACAGCATAATGGTCAGATGGGTAGTCGTTATTTTGGTGGTACGGACGAGGGTTTACCGGGTTTGAGCCCTGGTAGGTCGTTGAATTGACAGCCACTAAAGAATTTTTCATGTAAAATATGAAGTCAATTCTGTCCTGAGGCTCTGGAATGGTCCAATTCCAACCTGCCGGTGTCATTTTGTCTACGGTAGACCACGTAACTCCTAAAAATAACTTTACCTACTTCTTCTTTATCTTAATAAACTATCAAGTTTTTAAGTTTTGGTTTTGCTGAATTGGTTAAAAGCTAAAACCTGGATCAGAGCGAGAGTCGTTATGTAAATCTCGATATGAATCGGTAAGGCCAGTCTCCCGTTGGAGTATACTTGTCGCCGGATATTCAAAAGTCCATCCACCATGTAAATCACTGAAAGTTACATTTTTTAAAAAAAGTCTGTGGAGTTAAAATTGCTTTTGTAGAACCTTACTAAATGCTTTGTTAAGCACTAACACGAGAGTTTTTTGTTAACTGGTAACTGTAAGCACTTTATTTAACATCGGAACAAAGAAAGCAACCGAGTCTCATAGGTCCAGTCTAAATGAGAGGGTGAATTGAAGTCGCCGCAGACTATCAAGGGTACTTTATCAACATCGTCAAGAGCTTGTTTAAAGTTGTTATTTGTCAGTAGGTCTCGGATGTTCGAAAACCTCCCTTAAATTCTTTATTTTTGAAAATGTTTAGCTAGATATTTTTAAAAATGGCTGTTTTTAAGACTCATAATCTTTCCGTTACAGATAGTCGGAAATTTACGAAAGCTAAAATTAAAAAAAAACTGTAGCTACCGTATTCCCCAGCCAAAATTTGATCTCGACTTGTAACCAGTTTATTGTTGGCAGCGTACGGGCCGTAAGATCTAGAAATAAATATTCAAATCAAACCAATACGACAAATTTCCTTATTCTGTCTGTTTTTTGAGACATGAATAGTGCTAAAGAAAGTGTCTCACTTATAGTCTAAATGTAGATTCCAGACGTGTATAGTATAAGGACTGCATTTCAGTTTAATTTTGGCTCCGATTCCAGCTGCGGCTTGTGCGACTGAATCCGTGAGCAGCTAGAATTGAAATAGCTGGTCCAAATGTTCCAGTATGATTTTTAAAAGATTCAAAGAAGTTTTCAGTAATTTTTTTGAGAGACATTTATCAGACAGTTCAATAGTTTGTTAAAAATTGCTGTTTTGCTGTCAGTTGACCTTTAAAGTCATTTATATTACAATTTAGTAAAGCGCACTGTATGTCGTGTTACGATCCCGGTATCCGGATAATCTGCATTTCTCAAGCAGCCTGACCAATCAGTACCGAGTTTTTCTAATAACTCTTGCATAACTTCATGATCTCTCACTTCCTAGTGAAAAATATAACTGTGACTGAGAAATAATGACAAACATTTATAACAAGTTATAATTCTGTCAAAATTAAAGAATTTATTTTAAAAAATGTGGTCAACAAATCAAACCTTTACAGAATACTACCTGTAGTGCCGCTACATCTGGATTTACCGCTTTGATGTGGGATACAATTTTATTTAAGCCATCTGCCACATTATTGCCAGATTCCCAAATATTGAATGTCATCACCACCAAATTACTGCTTAACACAGAACTGATGAAATTGACCAGTATGAATAAAACAATGGCAGAATGTAACTCATAACGATCAGACATCTGCGATGACGAAAAGCTGAAATCAGACAATAACCTACACAATGGCGCTTTGAACAGGATGATCAGTTTATTCTAATAAACTCTAAGCCGTTTAGTCAGCCTGTAGTTTAGCTTTCTGCCCAGAACCGCTACTCACTCTCTCAGTTTCAAACGCTTCTTTTTCGTTAGTTTATCGCTTAAGTTCAGAGAATAAGCCCAATAGCCAGTTGCAAAAAAAAAAAAGCATGTTACAGATTTAATCTTTATTAGCAGTTTTCCCAATTTATTTTTCTCGGTTTTTTTGTTTAATTATCAAAAAACGTTTTCATTGTCGTTTACTTCTTAAAAATTATGCCTGTCGGCTATGATGTTTCGCAAAACAGTAAAAATGCACAATTTTTGATTTAAATTGGCATTCTTTATATAGCAAGTAAAATTTTCGCTCAAAATCTAACTTTGTTAATGTTTTAAAAAAAATTTTTATTTCTATACACCGATAAAAAACAACCGCAGATAAGCTTCATTTTGCAAGACGCTCGCTGTCGCTGGTAGAACTATTTTGATGATTCTGAATACTTTAAATGTTTGAGGGATTAGATAAACAGTTATTTCTACTAACGTCTACATAATAATCTAATTATTTTAAATATCACAAGAAGATCTTCAATATTTTTTGTATAATCCGTTTTCACAGCAAAAAAACGCGAAAATACTGAACAGCATTAGAACGATGCCAGAAAAAAAAAAAGCAACCTATTATTGAGATAAAATTTGACGTGAACTACCAAAAGCGTTGTCCGCCAAAACTTATTCATTGTAGGCGGCAACGCTATATTAATGCGCATAAATACACCCAAGTATATGATAAATTTGGCTGTCAAAGCAATGTAAAGGTTGTTTAAGTACTCTAGCTAAGTATTATATGGTCCTTCTTAACAACCAATTCTTTCTCTTCTTAAAATTGAAATTTCACTGTTTTTGAATCCATTGTGAAGGCTTATTTTCAACAGAAAAAAAAATGAAAAAAAGAAGGGCAACAAATTGAATTTTTATTTTAAGCAAAAGTCCACTAAACATTCGTTTGGTTTAATGTTATTGAAGTCAAAAAAATTTCATAAAAATTTATATGCTTATAAATTCTATTTTTTTAGTATGAGGAATTTTCATAGTTTACAGAAAAACTAAGAACTTTTTTTGGTTGATCTGATAACAATTATTAAGTGTGAAAAACGGTCAGCGGTCAGTGATTTCGCCAAAATTTTGATGATAGTTCTTGTTGCGACTTAAGCGTTAGACGAGTTTTCAACTGATTGCAACAGCAGTTTGACGTCAACAGAGAAAGTAACTGAAAAACGGCTGACAAAATTAGACTCTTTCTTAAATTTTAAAAACAAAATTTTGTTCAAATAAAAACCTAAATTTTTTTTTCTTCTGTTTAGTTAAATACCGAAATTTTTTTTTTGAAAATTCAGCAACCATCACTCAAAAGTTCTGCAAAGGTCTTACCAAAAAAAAAAAAAAAACTGGTTGAGGAACGAGATTTAGGCTTATTTACTAACTTTAAGAAGTTTAGAAAAAGACTAACAGAAACATGTAGATTTTTAAGAAATAAACGATATAATTTATTGTCATTTACTACTGCTCTTAAGCCGTCAAAGCAAAAAAAAGAAAACTTGGGGAATGTAAAAATTAGTGCAAATTGTCGAAAATAAGCAAATAAACCAAGGCGATTTTATAGCAGAAATAAATACCGTTAGAAAGTCAGTTAATTGGCCATTTCAACGATTAGTTTTTAGATAAGATAAAAAATAATAACCCAGCTTAGCGGTTCAAAGTACTTCTTATTTTTTTGAAGTTAAAAGAAATTAGATGAAAAAAAACTTAATGAACCTATCTGTAAAAGAAAAACTGCTCTAAATAAGCATTAAACAAAGTTATGTGTAAAAGTACACGACAAATTGCAAAAAAAAAAA